AGAATCCATAAGCAGAGGAGGTAAAGTAGCCATTTTAAACCATGAGCTTTGCATACAAATAGTTGGATATATTCTGACCCTTCTTATCAATTTGGAAAATTGTGGTGGTACTTACATTTTTTAACTCTAATTGCTTAATTGGCATATAAATTGCACAGCATTTGTATCTTTTGAGAACAACAATCTTGATAAGTTATATGATCTATGCCAAAGACTAACTCAGAATTAAAGAAAATCAGCTTTCTTTAAATGATGTAGGAACTTACAGGCTGAGTAACTGAGATCTGAAATGCTTTTGACCAATGTATTTTGAATTTTAGACATTATCATGAGATACCATGGAGATGGGACCCAAGTTTCATGACAATGTTTCTTCATGTTTCTCGTACATATTATAAAAGTATATGGTGAAGATACATTTAAATAATAGAAGTTTAAGAATACTTAAAGTACGAGTATCAAATGAAGTCAGTTTAGAATGTTTTAATTGTGATATGTTTTAGTGCAACATCTTTCAGAATGTAAAGGAATTGTAATTTTATCTTTGCATTAAAGATTCTCTACTCACGATAAATGATATTAACCAATGTATATGTCTTCCCCTTGTGTCACTTTCATGAAATGACAACAGTATGTGTAAAGTAAGAAATTAAATAGCTATATACCTTAATAAAATTGAGTTCTTTAGGCTGAATTAATAATTTGTCTACTGAGAATATTTCATTTTCTTAGCTTTGTTCAGAGCACAAAGAAAGGTGACAAACTCAACATTCTGCTAATTTATGGATAACATATTTCTATTAGAAATTGCATGAAAATGTGTATTAATCCTCTATTTAATATAAATCACTACAGTCATTTTAATCATGCTTTACATAACTATTTTCAAATAATCCATTTAAAAATATCAAAAACACTCTCTTAGAAGCAATGACATTTCAGACAAAGCCTAGAAGATTTATTCATGCTAGGTCTCATTTTGGGTATTACTTATTTTTTGCATGTATCTCTTCAACTACTGCTTAGAATATACAAATATGCTACATTTTTGTGAATTTAAATTATCACAGTCTGGGTATATTTAAATAACATTTCTGACTTAAAAAATCTTGGTAAAATTAAGTTCAGTACCTACATGCTATTTCTTATCTCCATAGTTAAAGAAGTTGAAAGTTATAATTGTTTGGACAAATTTAGGAGCATTAGAGACTGTCTGTTGAATTTAATATGATAAACATTGATATTCAAATGAATAACATAGGACATATTTCTTTTCAATATACTATTTGTGGAAGTTATCAAGTTGATATATTATAATAAATATAGGTTTTAAGCAATAACAGCTATTTTATATAGTATAAGAATCACTGTCTTCTTAAAGTGTACTTTATTTGTTGGAAATTCTTGAATGCTACTCTTTTACAACAACTGATGTCATCCTTATTCTCTTTAAGACTTGAGATCACAGAAATGACTGATATGCAGCTATCAAGTCAGAGACACATTTGTAGAAGACAGTAGTTTTTGTTGTGATTGCTTCATTGTTATTTAACAGTGAACTAGTTAATTTTAATTATAAAATTGAATCAAACTAGAATCAACTAGGAATAGAAAAACTCTTTTAAGAAATTGCCACCACTGGCATGTCTAGGGAATACTTTCTTCTTTGCATATTGTTTTAGGAGGGCCCAGAGTGAGCAATTCTATCCCTGGAAAAGTGGGTTCGGTCTTTGTAAGAAAAGCTTAACAGAATCTGGGCATGGGAAAACCAGTAAGTAGCATTCGTCCATGGTTCTTGCCCTGTTTTTGCTTGGGTCCATGTTCTGACTTCCTTCTTTGGTGAATTGTATCAAATACACCTCTTATTTCCAACTGCCTTTTGATCATGATGTTTATCACAACAACAGCAAGAAAACTAGAACATAGAGGGATAGATTTTTTTATAAGAACCAGTGTGTCAAATCATTCTTAACAAACTAAGTTGTCTCATTACCTTTTGTTTATTTCTAGTGAGTGTCCACATTATCCTTGAATTACATCACAAGCCCACACCTATGCTTTTGGGTGTGTTTTCTTCTTTCATTAAACTAAATTCTTTCTCACACTGGCTCAATCTCAGATTCTTTTCTTTTTTATTTAAACCTTTAATCTCAGCTCTTACTGAGTAGAGTTGTCTGGAAATAACCCTTTAGTCATCTGTTCCTGACAGTGCTGTGTGGAGGTGTTTCCGCATAATGCCTACTACCACCAGGTTTCATAGCACAATGATAGAGAAAAAACTCATGTAAAAGTGATAACAAATAGAAATGACTGTTCCTTCTTATAAAGTAAATAAGCTAAAAGAGAAATTAAATTCAAATAAGAAAATTGGGATAATTCACTTAAGAGATATAATTTAAATAGTCTAGATTGCTAGGTCATTAGGGTATCACAAAGATATTTCTGCTTGAGTGAAAATACAGTTGTCATATATTAACAATAAGCTGGCTCATTTCAGTTACAGGGTTGTATGGAAATATATACAGTAGAGAAAGTGCTGCAAAATCCTTTTTTCAAAGACATTAGGATTAAGCTTCAGAGATTTAAAGATTTTGTAGTTTGATGTGTGTGTGTGTGTGTGTGTGTGTGTGTGTGTGTGTGTGTGTGCATCATTTTATAACACATCTGCCATGGCATATATGCGGAAGTCAGAGGATAACTTGCTCTGGAATCCTGGAATAATTGCTCTCATTCCACCATGTAGGTCAAGGAGATTTAACTTGATTCTGTGAGCACAAACACCAAGCAACACTGAATGATTCCTGAAGAAAACTGGTTTACTCATGCTCAGCAGTTATTAATTTCCTGTATCACATTATCTATAGATAATTTCTGTATTTGAGTTGACCATAGTACCCAATGTATTTTCTCTCTGTGGAAAATGAATGGTATAATGTATCTTAATTAGTGTACCTACTACATCTCCGCAAATATCATACATTCCTAGAGAAACACTTCTCTCTTTCAAAAAGAACAGTATTTGATCACATAATTGTGAACTTGACATTAAATTAAGAGTCATACAGAGACAGCACATGAATAATAGAATTACTGAAGAAAAAACAATTTGCCATTGTGAACATCAGTCACCCAAAGAGACAGAGTAGAGGCAATAGGAGGGGAAATGTAACAGACTTTTAACTTTTGTTTATCTCATTCTAAACTTCATACTTTATAACTTTGCCATACACGCTGCCTTATGCAGTTTTTAAGACATGACAAATTTCTATTTGAGTTTTGATAAATTTTCCAGGTTTTTTAACAATTAAATGAGTAGTATCTGTTCAAATTAGGGAGCTGTTTTCATCTTGAAGTAGCCAATAATGGAATACTGAATTTTATGCTAATAAATAGATTTTATTTTAAATTTCCCTGGAAACAGACTACTGCATGTCTTTTTTAATTAAATTTACTAACAAACAGCAAAGAGACTAACTTTAAAAAAATAATGTTGCTATAAAAGATATTTCATCTCCCATCCAGTTTCACATTTACTTTCCCCTCCACCCAAGCTCTGTTGTGTGGTGTCTTTCTATCTTGCACTGTTTTATTTTTTTAATTAGGAAAGATAAATGTAGCTTTCTAATTAAAAACTATTCTATGAAATAGAGTTAGAGCTTAGCATTGCTTAATAAAAATAGAACTAGCCCTTCCATCGGCTGATCACAGAGAAGCAGAAACAAACTCTATTTGGGACAATAGACCTTTAGAATGGATATATGAGATACATAAAAATTGTGATAAACTATCATATTCTCAAAATTATTATATTCCTAAAAGATTTTCCCAAGTCTGAGTTTTTTTCCTGCACAATTTAAAATATGTTCAGTGGGCCTGTGGCTACAGCTTATTCAGTAAAGTACTTGCTATGATAGCTTGAGGAATTGTCTGCATTCTCAGCAGCTAGGGACATTGTTGGATGCAGTAGTGAATGCGTTTAATACTAGTGAAAGTGGAGACTGAGATTGGTAGATAATTGTATCTGACTGATCAAATATACAGCCTTGACAAATTAGTGAGCTCCAGGTTCATCGAGAGATCTTGTCTCAAACTGAAAACTAGAAGTGGAAGAAAAATGCCCAACATCAAACACTGGCTTTCACAGAACCATATAAACCCTTTCTCCCAAATAAAATACAGCACAATCAAAATGTCTTAACTCACCAAGGATTAAGGTTTGTCTAGTCATAAAAATGTACTCGGGAACTGAATGTCCATGAAAGAAAAAAAAAACTAAGACAATGTTTTACAATAACCCAATTTTTATTCTTTATCTGGTCCCTCAATTACACAGAAGAGATTGTTAACATGAAAAGTCAAAACATTCAGAAACCTTAGTACTATCCGTAGTTCATAATATTCTGTTGCTTGCCTTCAAATCATGAACATCAAATGATCACAAATAAAAATATCACATGTTGTCTCATCTTTTAGAACTTTAAGATCATCATAGGACATTGTAAACATCTCAGAAAGCAGGCAAGGTGGTTCTAATTCAGCATGTGGCCCATCAAGAAAAAAGCACTTAGGCTCACACTTAAATCTTCACATTTCTTAAGATCTTGTTTAGTCTGGTCATTCTGACACTCAGGTTCACCCTTGAGGTTCTGTCTGCTGTATCTGTCTAGCTTTGTGCAGCCTTTCCCTGGATAGTTTCTCTCTAAAATATCACCAAAGTCAAGGGACTCCTCAGCATGAAGATCGTCCAAAGAACAGAAAATACAGATAGTCTTAATTTTCCTTCTTCAAGTGAAGGCCGATTCATCCAGAGAGGCAATTCTGCTGGGCAACGACTTCTCTTCGGTGTTATTTCCTTAAGGCTGAATAATAGCTTGTTAAGTTCATCTCCTTCGGACCTTTTTACTCTTACATGGCTGAGGTTCAAGGTCTTTTTACCAGGCAAGTTTTAAGGTCTTTAACGTGGTGAGCCTGGGGTGATTCCTTCGGTTCTGGGTCTGCCTTCAGAGCAGTTCAATCTGAACTTGCATGCATATATTGAGCATCACAGAAGCCATGACGTAGAGAGAAGGGAAGTTGATGTGCAGCTGCCAGGCCAGCCTGAAGAACAGAAGCATTGAGCGGGTCAGTATGGGGCCAAAGCCACCATAGCTACGGGTAGCAGTCATGAGTGACAGATCATCCATATGCAATGCAGCTGTGGTTATGTGGAGGTTGGCACTCCCACTGCCCGTAGGCACACTGCTTTGTCTTGAATCTTCTTCTTGCCCACTGGTAATTGAACAACACAACCCAGTTTAAGAGAGCCAAAACACGGGTTGTTTTTCCAAGAGCTTCTGAAAATTTTTGCCTAATAATAGCTATCCCCAGTGACATCACAAAGCCAACCTGCACATGTGCATGATGCCAATGCTGACCTCAGCATTTTCACTTGCTCAAACTTCAGCCACCTGAAGATGGATATTCAGTTCTTCCGCAGGTTGGTTATGTTTGGCAAAGTACTTGTGGTACCTTATGACTTTACAGGAATGATGTTAAATCTATTTCCTTTTCTAAGGAAAAATCTGGCCTACATACTGTTTTGTCTTGATTAGAAACAAGAAGAGATAACTGCTTTCAGTCTCAGATCTAGTAGTGGGTACTCTGAAGGCTTAGAACACTTACAAAACTGTATGTCATAGATATCACATGGCAAAAATCATGGTTTTATACACTAGCACATCTTAGTGTTTCTAACTTTGAATACAGCTCTGTAAGTATTCGTTTTGGTAAACCAGTTACTCAGCTTCCTCTGGATAAGGGGAGGGATAGTTCACATTCCATGATTAGTTAAATCACGTAGGGTTTATATCGTTTACACTTATTTATATTGACATTTTTAATTTTGCATGCTTTTAATTTCTGAGAAAAAAATCCAACAAAGATAATATGCAAAGTTGCTATTCAGTGGGAGTTTTTTGCCTTGAGGCACAAAGACAGGTTAGAAAAGTCCCTCTAATACCAAACAACCCAATTAAATAGTGGGGTACAGAACTAAATAGACAATTCTCAATAGAGGAATCTAAAATGGCTGAAAGACACACAAGAGAGTGTTCAAAATCCTTAACCATCAGGGAAATGCAAATCAAAACAGCTCTGACATACCATCTTACTCCTCTCAGAATGGCCCAAATCAAAAACACCAATGACAGTTCATGTTGGAGAGAATGTGGAGAAAGGGGAACACTTCGCCACTCTTGGTGGGAGTGCCAATTTGTACAGCCACTTTGGAAATCTGTATGGCAACTCCTAAAAAAATGGGGATCAGTCTACCATAAGGTCCAGCAATTCCACTTTTAGGCATATACCCAAAAGAAGCACATCCATACAAGGGCATCTGTTCAATGATGTTCATAGCAGCACTATTTGTAATAGCCAGAAGCTGAAAGCAGCGTAGATGCCCCTCAACTGATGACTGGATAGAGAAAATGTGGTACATTTACACAATGGAGTACTACTTAGTGGAAAAAAAACAATGGAATCTTGAAATTTGCAGGAAAATGGAGGGATCTAGAAGAAACCATTCTGAGAGAGGTAACCCAATCGCAAAAAGACAAACATTTACTCACACATAGGTGGATTTTAGACATAGAGTAAGGATTAGCAGCCTACAATTCACACGGCCAAATAAGTTAATGTAAAAGGAGGACCCTAAGAGAAGGGGCGAGGGTCAAGATCTGATGAGCAAATTGGAAGCACAGGAAGGGGGGGAGGGAGCTAGGAGAATGAGAAAGGGAGAAGAAGAGGGATGCAGAGGAAATGAGGGAGCAGAAAGTTTGAGTCAGGGGAAGAATAGATGATAACAAGAATGGAGATATCATAATAGAGGGAGACATTTTTCATTTACAGAGAAATCAGGCACTAGGGAAATGTCTGGAGATCCACAAAGATGACACCAGATAACAATCTAATCAATATAGGAGAGGCTACCTTAAATGCCCTCCCCTGATTATGAGATTGATGAC